TTGTTGCCGGTGGTAAAAAGTGAAATAGTCCACTGATGAAAAAAAAAAAAGTCCGAAAAAGTACGCAACGTTTAAAAAAGGCTGCAAATCGGACTAAAGTCCGCAAAACGGCAATACTGCATATTATTAATTTTCCTGTCATTATCTGTAATTTCTAGATTAGTCATAGAGTACGAGCCATGAGGAGTAACGTGACACGACATCTGGTGGACACAAGCGGAGATAGGTAGTACCTTCTATCCCTAACAGATGGCGCTAATAACACGTACAGAAGTCAGTTCCTATGACACTGTTGTGAAATAAAATAGTGTGTACCTCCTTAAAATGTGTTTGTGCGTGTTTAAGACATCTTTGTAACAGTATTTTGATTTGAATTGTTGCTTTTGTGTGTGATTTAGTAGTATGGAAAAGAAGCGAAAAATTGATAGTGAATGCAGAAAATTCAAAGATCAGTGGAACATTCAGTATTTCGTAATTGAGTCCAGTAACAAGGCTCTATGTTTGATTTGCAATGAAAGCATAGCCGTTCTCAAAGAATGTAACATTAAACGTCATTATGAAACAAAACATTTTCAAATTACTCAAAATATACAGGAAGTTTGCGGGCAGAAAAATTCGAAGCTATAAAGCGCGGATTGAAAATCACAGCAATCTTTCATTTACAAAACTCAAACTGAACAAGAGGCTGCAACTCGTGCCAGCTTTCGTGTGGCTCTTGAAATTGCAAAACGTGAAAACCATTTCACCGATGGAGAATGATCAAAGATGCATATTGCAGTAGCCGAAGAATATGCCCTGAAAGGTAAATTTATTAAAAACTGTCAGTATGTCAGCAAACACTGTGACTCGAAGGGTAGAAAACATCGCTGAAATATATCCTCTCAACTGTTCGACAAAATGAACATGTTGAGTGGTTTTTCTTTGGCCTTGGATTAGTCAGCGGATGTGTCAGATACTGCTCAGGTGTTGATTTATATTCAAGGAGTAGATAAAAGCTATAAGTGCATGAAGAACTTCTTGATATGTATAGTATTCATGGCACAACTACTGGTACAGATATTTTTAAAGGAGTTGAAATGGCCATTAATCAAAAGAACCTTCGATGAAAACTTGAAATGTATTACAACTGATGGAGGCAAAAACATGAGTGTGAAGATAAGGAGTGGTCGCTCTGTGTCAAAGGCTGTAGAAATGACGGTGGTTCAAAACCATTAGTCTTACATTGTATCATTCATCAACAGTCATTGTGCGGAAATGTTTGGATATGTCTGAAGTTCTGAAACCAGTCATATCAACTGTTAATTTTATCAATCTTTTGGGCTAATCACCGACAATTCCGACAATTTATTGAAGAGATTGGAGAAAATGACTTACCTTATCATACTGCCGTACGTTGGCTTAGTTGTGGGAAAGTCCCTACATGCTTTTTTGAACTTCGAGCAGTGATCAAAATTTTTTTGAATGAAAAGCATCGCCCTCTTACTGAATTACAAACAACGCATGGCTGTGGAAGTTAGCATTCTATGTTGATTTGACAAAACATGTGAATGAACTGAATTTGAGATTGCAAGGAGAAAACCATCTCTTCCTGATTTATACACTAATATCAAATCATTCCGGAAGAATTGATACTGTTTCAATCACAACTCAAAGTAAATGTTTTTCACATTTTAAAACATGTGCAATATTCAGCCACACCACTGGACTGAGTTCCTATCGATTTTGCAATCGAAACTTTGAGTGCTTTGAAAATAAATTTTGATACTCGTTTCTCTCGACTTTGATGCCATTGCGAATCAAATTAAGATTTTCAGAATCCTTTTGATACTGACATTGAAACCCTAGCCCCGGAACTTCAATGGAAATGATTGATCTACAGTGCAGTGATATAATTAGAACAAAATCAAACTCATCTTTGTTGGAAGAGTCTTCCACTGACACAATTTGATAATTTGCATAAATTTGCTCATGGGCTGTTTTCTGTTTTGGTACTACTTATTTGTGTGAGAAGACCTTCTCCAAATGAAGTACACAAAAATGTTTACAGATCTAAATTAACTGATGAGCATTTTAAATCTCTTTATAATTGGTACAAGTAAAATGAGTCCACAACTACAAACTATTTCAGTGAAAATCTCAATTACATAAATCTCATTAGTATTTCATATGTCATTATGCTTTTATAAGTTATGTTTTTATTAAATGTATAAAATGTTAGTTGGATTCATTTCAATATTTGTTAGTTATTATATACTGAAGTTAAATTTTCTGCATATTATACATGTCTTTACTCATTACAATTCTGTGTTTCTTTATCCAACTTATCACAAAAACAATAACAATAAGCCTACAACAATGTTATGAGTAGTAGCCCATGACCATATTATGTAGATGTCATATTAATATTATTCACATAAAATTAGAATACTTCAGTAAACTAATTTAATTTGCTATAAAAATATGTTCTCTATAAGGAGTTTTCAAGTATGCTAGCTCTCCGCGGACCGGACAAAATCTGTCCGCGGGCCGGATGTGGCCCTCGGGCCGTAGTTTGGAGACCCCTGTCTTAATGCATCATACACAGAGCTGGCATTAGGCATTTTCTCACCTGATGCAATCTCTATTGATTCTAAATTCTGCTGCCTAGTGCCTTTCTAAATTCTGCTTCTAATGCCTGCTCTAAATTCTAAACGTTTTGCCACTTCTAGGTTTTGTTGTTTGGTGTGTCACTAAATTCTAAGAATTCTGCCACACCAGCTCTGTAACCGGTCTTTATTATATATATTTCATATTTCTTCTGAATGTTCATATTTCTAAAGAAATAAAATTAGCCACTTTTTGTATACATTCTAAGTGCATTTAGTGTTTTTTTAGAATAACAGAAATCCTTAATTAAATCCAAAAATTCTAAAATAGAAAGGAAATATGTTGAAGAAAGAAACTGAATTCATAAAGAAAATTATTTATTTTTTATATCAATGCTACAAGGTTCATAAAGGTATGTGCAGTTATTATTATGTAAACTACCCAAATATTTTTTATTTCAGCCTTTACTATAATTTCCTGTTTGTTTCCTCATATGATAGAGTTACTGAGCAAGATTAAATTAAAATTAAATTGTGTAATCTTTGACCACTAGTCCGCATTTTTTGTTTGAATTAGACTGTTCTTGTTTAATTACATCACCGTGAGCTGTAATTGGTTTTGTTAGCATCAGAACATGCCTTAATGTTCTAAGTTCTTTTCAAATAAGAGGCTTATTTAAAACTTTGTCTGATGTTGTAGTTACTTTCAGCCATAGCGATAATTTGCTTCACGTTTGTCGGGAGTTTTGGACAATTTAACTTTACAAGGTGGTTCCCACTGGGGTTTAGCTGAGCTAACGGAGTCAGTTTCCTGTGACGACTAGGTCCGCTATGTCTGCAGTTCAGGTTTTTCAACTTGCTACCCTATGAGAAAAAACTAGTTTTGGAGATGGGTCGGCTACGTCTATTGTCTCCGTTAGCTCAAATAAACCCCAGTGGGAACGGCCCTTACCAGATCAAGTAAACCCTCATAGGTACATTGTGGAGAGGTTGACAAGTTGCATATGCCAACTGTGCCTACATCAGGCCTCTCGGGTTTATTCTAATCAGCAGGTCTCTCTCTAAACAAGCAGCAGCGGTGACAATATTCAGTCTTTTGTTATGAATCATGTTGATTATGGTCTTACTTCTCATCTTAACCTATGCCAGTTGATGTAAAATCTACCTGCTATTTACTAAACCTCTAGACTGGCCAACTTTGTGACAAAATGAGACATAAAAAAAATCAACATAAAGCAAACTGTTAGTAAAATATAAATGTCAGTTATCTTCTTTCAAATATGTCCAATTATTATAAGTGTAAAATATTTGTACTTTTCCATTTTTCTGGCGCAAGCGATAAAATCACTAAAAATCGTACAACCGATACCAAACAAAATATCCTTGCTGGTAATCTTTTACGCTTCATTTTCAAAACAAGTTGCAGCCATTTCTTATCAGATTGATTTTTTCTTTCAATACTGGTATAAAATTATATAGATTTTTTATCCGGACAGTTTAATTTTATATCCTAAGGCCGTTCGCGGTAATTAAGTCATTTAGGATGCAATCACACAACTTACCGTAAGGCGAAAATATAGAAAAGGCAAAGTCAAGGGTTCAATTCAGCCATTCGAATGAGAACGCACTAGCGAAGTAAAGCACTGCGGTTTTACATAATTTCGGAGTAAGCTATTCGTACAAATTGAAAGAATTCTTGCATTTAAACTTGTATTCCAAATTAAGATTTAACTTGAAATTAATGTAGATAATTACTGAGGGAATTAGATTTTTGTAGTGTAGTTTACGTGAGATGAGATCACTTGGGGTCACGTGATAAGAACCTGTGAATCAGGATGTACCATGAAAGCATAGTAAATTCATAAATTAATGCCTTTTTACGAATTTATTGTCTTTTTACAAAATTTTAAGCGATATTAAAATGTTCATACCTTAAAAATAAAAATTTCTGAGAACTAACATTTGTTAACATTTTTTATGTGTATACTGTGTGTTGTCGCCAATAAAGTCTGCTTGGCAAGATTTGTGCCGGCAAAACGGAAAAGTACCAAAATATTTAATACTACTTGATAAATTGCATAAAGTTTATTTTATTCTCAAACTTATTAATAATTATTTTAATTAATTCATGTTTAGTAATAATGCTTACTACTTAGGGATGTGTTTATTTTTAGGATGGTATTACAAAAGTGAAATTCAGGCATAGATAATATTTTTAATTGTATTTATTCAGTTCCCATTTGCTTATAGGTCCTTAATTTTTTTCATTAATGGTCCTTAAAAGTCCTTAAAAGTACTTAATTTCCATGTGCAGAAATGTGTACGAACCCTGTAATATTACTGTTTATCATTATTATTATGAGAAATTATAAAACATTAAGATTTGTGAAATATATCTCATTATTATTTTTGTAGTCACTGAGAAAGAGAAACCTCTTCATCCATCTTGGGAAGCTAAAAGGAAATTAAAGGAAGTTGCTGCTTCCAACATTAAGGGAAAGAGAATGGTTTTTGATTAGTGTTCTGATATATTTTATTTGTAAAAATAAATATTTTTATTGTTTTCCTTTGGCTGAATCATTTATCGCATCTATCATTTTTCATTTTGAATTACCTTTTTTAAACTTTTAGTAAATTTAATGGATTCTTTTTTGAATAATTTTGTTGGACATATTTGTTTCTATTTATAATCTACACTAGCATGCAAAACTTAAGCAGTTTTTCTGATGTTGGCTGTAACTCTACGAAAGTCATCTGAGAGACTTATATTAAATTAATTTATAATTTTTGTAATGTAATAACCAAAACATAGAAATATTTTTACCATTGAATTTGGCATTTTTTGCATTTCATTATAAATTTTATTTATTATTCTAAAGATAACAAGAAATTATAAAATTAATGTGATATTTGGCTTAGAATTCTGAGAAAGTTCTCAAGGCATTCTTTCAATATTTTGGTTCTGATTTTACTCTTAATGTGCTTCAGTCTTGAAAATAGTTGCTGTCAAATGAATGTGCTGCCAAATAAGAATGACCTAAATAAGTCATGACTGTGCAGAAATGTGTATTTATTTGTCTCTTGGTCAAATTGCAGAAAATCACTTTGCGCACAAATCCAAAGAAGATTGGTACCACTACCCCATTCAAAACACATTTTATTTCGCTCAAACTCAGAACATGAAATAACCCATCAGTCTATGCTGAAAGCCTGTCTGGAAACCCGATCACAATAGTAAAATGTATAATCGGGGTGGGGTCTTGATATTTCTTTTGTTCTTTGCGATCACACTGATACTTACTTTGGATTGCATGCAGGCTGTGGGTTGGGCACTCCTGCTCTAACAAGTCTTAGAGGATTAACAATCTTAAGGTAAGAGTTCCCATTTTTCAAGGAGTATCAGGTGTTCTCAGGGTGGTTCTCTGGAGGATAGATCATGCTGCCAAACATCTCTCTAAAATGTCCTATACATGTTCAATGGCATTTAAATCAGGTAAGAATACTGGCCAATCCATTCTGTGGATACCTGAACTTCCAGAAACTCTCCTCAAATGCAGTCTTATGCGGCCGTGTTTTATTATTGATAAAAATAAAGTCAGGACCAATGAAGCATTGGAAAAGACACATGTGGGCAAAGATATTTTCACAGTAACAGTCTCTGGTAAGTGAACCTCTGTGGAAAATGTGGAGCTCTGTCTGTCCAATCATGACAAGACAACTCCAGTCGTCTCTTTCTCTGATGTTAGATGAAATCGTGTCCCTACCTCTTTCCATATGAAATGGTGCCAAGAATTGTTTGTCAGATTAAAACGACTCTTAGAGAGGACATAACTCCATTGATGAGGTGTTTTCAGTCTTTGTATTATGTACATCACTGTAAACAGTGCTGTCAATATTATGAACCGTTTAGGACGGCAGGCGATAGGCTAACTTCATGAAGTCATTTAACCGCAGTAAACCGGGATACCAGGTTGTTGTGCATAGCTGCTGAATAATGTTCTTCTCTATTTAGCTACGATCTCTTTCTCTGCAGGCCAATATATCGGTCATCAGTGTCATTGTTATTTTCCTTGGCCGGCCATCATCAACCTTTCGTACAGCTGTACATGTCATTTGGAAGGCTTTCCAAGCTAGTGAAACAACAATTTTATGAATTACAAACTCTTGTGCCCCAGATGTCAAACTATGCCTCTTCTCAAGCTTGTCAATCATTCTATCGTGTGTAAAGTGTCCTGATGTTTTCTTGGAGCCATACTGCACATAGAATCTCACTTTCACTTGTAGAAGAATGTCTGCAAATGCGCCTTCCTTTCTTCTTTTAAGTTGCCTTGCACTACACACTGTTGGTTGTATGTTGAAAGATGAATTTGCTTAAGTTTTCCCACACTAGTTTATATTCAGAATGCGAAGTTATGAAGAATATAAATAAGAATAACGTATAAACACTCAAGAATGACTATTAATCACTACCTAGTATAATGTCATGTTTTTAAAGTTCCTGAAAATGGACAACATTTCAATGTTTATTTCATACAGCGGCTTGTCTGAAATATCAGTATTATCCGTAGTGTACAAATCCAAGGCACTAAGAGTTTTAATATTATCCAGTTTGTGAAAGTGTTGTAATTCTACTACTAATTCTTGCTCTTTTTAAAACCCATTTTCCCCTACTGTTATTTGGCTTTTCCCTTGCAGAACAAGAGCAGTGGGCTGGGGGGAGCATGGTTTTAAATGGGATCTTAAAATGTGGATTAAACATAGTCGTGTAATGTACACTGAGCAATTATAACTTCTGCTTTTTTCATTTCTCCACTCATCATAGGAGAAGACTGTGATATTCAAAGTTTGTATGGCCCTTAAAATTACTTAAAAGTCCTTATGTTTTTGGAAACTAATTTTTTACTCATATGACATTTCTGTCTGTTTTTTACGACTGTCATTTTGAGTGTTAATTAATATTTTTGAAGAATATTTTTGGTGATTCATTGTCAAATATGTATTTAATAAGTTTATCGTTTGAATTCTTTCCTACTTAATCTAAACGATGTGATGTCCGAATTTTTGGGCATGAGATCCTGCCTCTGTAGAAACATTAATATTCCAAAATTATTTCTTTTTTGAGAATGAAGAGTTTATAAAATATAACATCAAAACAAGTTTTCCCTTTTTGAGGTACTTTAATTATGTGGTGCTAAATTTGGCGATTTTAGGATTAGTTTTCATACAAAATTCTTGATCCGGAGATTTGCGATTTTTTTCCGAATATTATTAAAATACTGATAATCCGTTAATATTCTAATTAAGAAATAACATTAAAATAAAACACTTTTATTTTCCCATGTTAGATTTTAAAATGGCATTACTTTCCATTTTGGGGTCTTAAAAATATTTTGATTCTGAAAAGTAAAACAAAACTAAGAAAATAAATGCTATAAAATATAGTTCTCAAAGCACTTCTTAACAAAATCAAAAAAACTAATGTAATTATTTAAAAATTAATTTCATCTCTGTCCCTTTATATTTTTTCATAAGTTTGTTTCCTATGTAGTTGTTTCAGAATATTCATTCAAATGCGTATCAGTTTTCTCTTTAAAATTCCCTTTACACTTTTCTTTTCTGAAATTTGTATTCAAAACTTACAGTGTGATAATTTTTAGACTTGGCACCTCGGAAGGTTTAGCAGGATTTTAAAGCAAGATTCGTATAAAAATGTAACAAAATTAAAAATGCCTTCATGGCATTAACACATAATGAATGGGTCTTGTAGGAAATTTTTAATGAATTTTATTTTTTTTGAGAATTTTTGTAAGAACAGTGAAAATAAAGTTATTTGAATTCTCTACTTTTGATCCAGAAACACAGACGGCAGTTACAATGTAGACCTACTTCCACGTGGTGTACCTTTCGTAACGTTTAATGGCGAAATGATCTATGCTTTCAGCATGTTTCCACTGACCTATCAGGCATTATGCCCTGAAGTGAAGTTTGGAGATGCATGGATTGCAAATACTGATAAATTTAAATACTTAGGCATTATCTTTCATAATTAGTTGAGTTGGAGACAACATGTAGAGTCACTTATAGAATGCTTCTATCAGAAGTTGACTAAATTGAAATGTTTGGCTGCCTTCTTGTAGAGAAAAGCCAGAACAACTCTAAAATCTTACTTGTAAGATATTTGTACTACTTTTGATCCTATACTGCTCTGAACCACTCATAACGACAAGTGAGCAAGTTCTCGAGAAGTTGGAAATTTTTCAAAATTTAATAATGGGACTTATTGCTGGAGTTGTTAAATCTACCCCTATTGAAGCTATGCTACTACTGACAAAAATTTTGCCCATGAGAACTATTACTGAAGAGAGATTTATTATATAAAAAGTTACTTCGCACTGGAGATCCTTTCTGGATTAATTATCGGGACACAACTAGGAATATCAGGAACCAGTGTGGCTTCGCAGAAAAAACTCGTAAAATTAGGGAGGAATATGGTCTAATCAATCAAATACAAGAAATTGTGCCGCCAATAAACCCCCTTTCTATGTTCCAAATCGAGATACAACTTGACTAATTCAATCACCAAGAATGAAATATCTATCTATAAAGGACTTGAAATGTCTTGCCCTGGAAACCATTAATATTAAATACCCGAATCATAACTGGGTGCATGTTTATACATATGGGTGATATAGTGATGATCTAAATGCAAGTTCATGGTTTTATTTTAGCCTTTTTTCCTTCTATGTCTTTGCTGGGAAGAACTGAAATGCATTTGATGGTGAAGTGGAGGCTATTAGAATTGCCCTGAAATAATTATTGACATTACATTATAAACTCCAGAATGCTGTCCTGCTATCAGATTTAAGAGCAGCAATTCAAGACATTGGCTCTTTAGAAATTCCTATGTCAACAGAAGTTCTTCAGTGCCAAGAATTAGTCCGAAGCCTGTTGCAGAAAAATAAGAAAATAGAATACAGTGAATCCCTGGACACAACGGTATCCATGGAAATGAACAGTCAGATTTCCTCGCATGAAAAGGTGCATCACTATTACAATTAACAAACTGAAATATGTCATATCAGTCAATAAAGCTAAACATAAAATAATCTATGAAACAAAGACATCAGTTTGAATTTGTTGGATAGCATTAAGATGAAATAATGGAAGACTGAACATCTCGCTTACCTGCCAGTATATCCACAATGTAATGCTGTGGCACTTTTTAGACTAATAATTATAAGCCCTGGTTGCCTGAGTGAACAGCTTTACTGAACTTGTATATTTGCTCAACCATTTTCCTCACTCTGTGATCTTATGGAACCCATAAACAGACCCACCTTCTTTGTTGTGGGACACTTCTTGGTTATGATTCTGAGACCACCCAATACAGTCAAAAGTCGTTAATTCGGACACCCATAATCCGGAATGATCTATCACGCATGCGCACAGGCGTTTACGAGAGCGCATAAGACCCTTACAGCTGCGAATATGTTTGT